ATTGAACTGTAAGAATTACTTACATATTCACACATTAGCCCCTTACCAGATATATGACTTGTAAATATTTTCTCTCATTCTGTGAGTTGTCTTTTCACTTTCTTCATAGTATCCATTAAAGAACAAAGTTTTAAATTTTGAGCCAGATGCAAGTAGCATACTACTCTGGAGGCTGAGGTGGAAGGTAGCTTGAACCTAGGAATCTGAGAACAACCTAGTGAGGCCCTGCCTCCAAAAAGAGATTTTAATTTTGATGAAGTCTACTTTATCTATTTTTTTCTTTTTTTACTTGTGCTTTAGGTATCAAATCTAAAAAACCTAATACATGATTACAAAGATTTACAATTAGATTTTTGGCTAAGAGTTTTACGGTTTTAGCTGTTCAACTTAGGTCTTTGATCCATTTTAGAGGTAAGTTGTGAAGGAGGGCAACAACTTCATCCTTCTGCATGTGAATATAAAAGCTGTCACAGCACCATTTGCTGAAAAGGCCATTTCTTGGCATCTTCATCAAAAATTAGTTAACCAGAATGAAAGGGTTTATTTCTGTACTGTTGCTTCTGATCTGTTGATCTGTATGTCTGTCCTTAAACTAGACCCACACAGCTATGATTACTGTTGCTTGGTAGTAAGTTTGGAAGTATGGGTCCTCCAACTCTGTTCTTTTCCAAGATTATTTTGGCTATTCTCCATCTTTTGCATTTCCATATGAATTTTAGGATCAGTTTGTCAATTTCTGAAAAAAGATAGCTGGGATTTTCATAGAAATTATGTAGAATCTGTATATCAATTTGGGGGTACAACCATTTTAACAATATTCTTTCAATCCATAAAACATGAGACTATTTTCCATTAATTTAGGTCTTAATGTCTTTCAATGATATTTTGGCAGTTTCACTGTATAGGATCTTCTCAATTTCATTTTCAGATTGTTCATTGCTAGTAATAGAATACAACTGATTTTTGTATACTAATTTTATACCCTGCAACCTCAATGAACTTATTGGTTCAAATAGTTTTTCAGTGGATTCCTTACAATTTTTACATAACAGATGTCATACGTGAAGAGATTTATTCATTCACAATCCAGATGCCTTTTATTTATTGTCCTTGCCCATCTGACCTGGCTAGAATCTCTGGTATACTGTGGAGTCAAAGTAGAACGGAGCAAAAACCACCATCCTTATCTTTGAAATTCTTTTTTTTTTTTTTTTTTTTTTTGCAGTTTTTGGCCAGGGTCAGGTTTGAACCCACCACCTCTGGTATATGGGGCTGGCGCCACATATACCCCTTGAACCACAGACGCCACCCCCAATCATCCTTATCTTATGCCCAGATCTGAAGAAACATGTTAGCTGTGAGATTTTCACAGATGTCCTTTATTAGGCAGAGGAAGTTCCCTTCTATTCCTTATTTTTTGAGTGTTCTTTTTAATCATAAAAAGCTACTTAATTTTGTCAAATGCTTTTTTTGTATCTGTTGAGATAATCATGTTTTTTTTTTATCCTATCAGTATCTTTGTAAAAATACTTTGACTTTCAGTCTGTTTGTACCTTGAATTGAAGGTATGTCTTCTGAAGAAAGTATATATACTTGAATCTCTTGTTTTTATTTCTAATCCAGTCTTAGAATCTCTGCCTTTTGGCTAGATTATTTAAATATTCATACTTGTAAGATCCATTCACATGTCATTATTGATTTAGTGGGTTTAATCTGTTATTTACTTTTTTCCTATACATGTCTTTTTATTTTGCTTTACCTCTCCTTCATGGTTTTCATTTGCATTAAGTGGATATTTTATGTTGCAATATTTTAATATAGTTAATAATTTTCACTACTTTTTGAGTTATCTGCTTTGGAATGCTATAGGCTTACTATATACATCTTAGAAGAAACAACTTCAGATTTATGTTAACATAAGTTAATTCTAGTTAACATAAAGTTAATTAACATAAGTTAATTCTAGCAAGCTACAGAAACATCATTCCTATACAGCTCTATTCTCTTTCTTCCCTTTTTTTGATATTGTTGTTATACATATAATCAAACAGCACGAACTCCAAAATACTTTGTTATAATTATTACTTTACATAACATCTTTTATGCCTTTTAAAGATACAAGAGAAGAAAAGACAGTAGTTATGCATTTATAGATTTTGTTAACATTAATCTTTTTATTTCTGGCTCTCTCCATTTGTTCCTCGTGTGAATTTAAATTACCATCTCAAGTAAATTCCTTAGCCCAATATAGTTTTGCTACCACCCACCCATCTCCTTTGTGCTATTATTAAAAAATACATTCCATTACATATATTACCTGACATTATAGGCCCCCAAATACATTATATATGTATTGTTTTATATAATTTCTTTTTAAATCAGATAAAAGAGGAAAAGAAAAAAATGCATTTTTACTATCTCTTATAATTACTTAATTACTTTTATCATTGCTCTTTATTTTTTCATGTGGATTCAAATTACTGTCTGGAGTCACTTGCTTTCAGGCTAAAGAACTTCCTTTAAGGCTCAGCGCCTGTGGCTCAGGTGGCTAAGGCGCCGGCCACATACACCTAAGGTGGCGGGTTCGAATCCAGCCAGGGCCCGCCAAACAACAATGATGGCTGCAACCAAAAAATAGCCGGGTGTTGTGGCGGGCGCCTGTGGTCCTAGCTACTTGGGAGGCAGAGGCAGGAGACTCGCTTGAGCCCACGAGTTGGAGATTGCTGTGAGCTGTGATGCCACTGTACTCTACCCAGGGGGACAGCTTGAGGCTCTGTCTCAAAAAAAAAAAAAAAAAAAAAAAAGAATTTCCTTTATTATTTGAGTCTACTAGCAAAGAATTCTCTCATCTTTCATTTACCTGCCATTTGCCATTGTTGGATTGCTTGTCTTTATTTTGCCTTCAGTTTTTGAAAGATAGCTTAGATGGACATAAGATTCTTAGTTGACAGTTCTTTCTTCTTTGTGCACTTTATACATATTAGTCAATTGCTTTCGTAGTTGCTACTGTTTCTACTGAGAAGTCAGAGTTCCCTTTAAGTAATGAGTTAAATTTTTGTTGCTGCTTTCAGGATCTTCTCCTTGTCTTTGGCTTTGGCATTTTTACTATGGTTCACCTGTTTGTGGATCTCATACATATCCTACATGGAGTTCACTGAGCTTTCTGTAAGAGTAGATCAATGTTTTTCAGTAAACTTAGGAATGTTTCAGCCATTATTTCTTCAAATACTTCTGGCTCCTTTGTCTCTCCCCTCACCTTCTGGAATCCCATCTCATGTATGTTGACATGATTACTAATTTCCCATTTTTCTGAGGTTCCATTTCTATTCATTTTTTCTTATTCTTTTTTCTCTCCATTCTTTGCATTATGTGATCTCTAGCAATCTACCTTCAATTTTGTTCTTTTCTTTCTTCTTTTCCTTTTTTTTTGTTGAGACAAGGTCTTGCTTTGTCACCATGGCTAGAGTGCAGTGGCATCATCGTAGTTCACTGTAATCTCAAACTCCTAGATTCAAGTGATCCTCCTGCCTCAGCCTCCTGAGTAGCTGAACTACAGGCACATGCCACCATCTCCAGCTAATTTTTTCTATTTTTAGTAAAGATGGGGTCTTGCTGTTGCTCAGGTTACTCCTGAGTTCAAGCCCTCCTCCCATCTCAACCTCCCAGAGTGCTAGGACTACAGATGTGACCCACCACACCCAGCTTAATTCCTTCCTCTGCCAGTTCAAGTGTATAGTTTTGAGCCCTAATGAATTTTCATTAATTGAATTTCTGAATTCCAGAATTTCATTTTGTTCTTTTATTATCATTTCTATCTACTTACTGATATTGTCTATTTGAGCGACATTACTTTCTTTTACTTCTTCAATTGTGGTTTTCGTTTTTCAACACAATTATAACAACTCCTCTTAAGTCCCTGTCTGTTACATCTGACATCTGGTCATTCTCCAAGGTAGTTTCTGTTGTCTTTTTTTCCTCTATGTATATTTCATACTTACGTGTTTCTTTCCACACCTTATAATTTTTTATTGAAAACTAAACATTTTAGATAATATATTGTATAATCTGCATACTAGTCTATCCTCCCCCTGCCTTTGGATTGTAATAGTTATTTGCTTGATTACTTATTTAGTGGCTGGTTGGATTATTTCAGTGAAATTTGTTTCCCTCTTCTCCCACATTTGTAGTAACCAAACCAAATTTGAAGTGTTATGTTCAGTTCACATTTAAGGACTACTAGCAAATTAAAGCATGTACAGAATATGCTTCTAGGATGGGGAGGATGTGAAAATGTCATAGACAAAAAGTGTAAAAGAACTTAAGATATTTTAAATAAAGTAGATTAGGAAGTTAAGGATACATAGTCACTGACTTAACTGTTCTGGTTTAGCTGAAGTACAGGAGAAAGAGATCACAGAACTGAGACAGCCTGGTAGGCATTATAAGGAAGCAGTCCTTAGCTCAGTATATAAGAAACAATTTTTTAAACAAGCAGTCCAACAATGGCAAATGCCACCTTATAAAATGAAATGTCCATTTTTAAGCAAAAGTTTACATCCTCTCACAACTGTTGAGGTTGGTATTCAATCTTCGGAAGGGGAGGTTTGAAAAGATGATTACTGACGTCTTTACATTTTTTGTGGCAATCAAGAACACTAGCCTTAAATGTAACCTTTTTGACATAATGCACAGCACTTCACATGCATATAAATAGATAATACAAAAACACTGTTTTTCATTTCTCAAAAAAATGTATACAAATAAACCTTTTTAAATGTTTTTCTAGTAAAGGTATCTCTGTGATTATTATTTGAAAGTATTTTCCTGATTAGTCATGTATCTGGTAGCTTACTTTATAACCCCCAAGAGAAAGGATTGCTTTGAACTTCTATATTCTCTCACATACTTGATTTAAAGTATTAGAATAAAATAATTCATTTTCAAGAGTTTTTCAGTTCTTACAAAAATTTTTAATAAAATAATTGAGATCCAGAACTCACCAGAAGAAATCTTACCAGCACCTTTACAGTCAACAGAAAATGCAGATGTGACTCCATTGGCCGACCCCAATTCACACATGGAAATTTGGTAAGGGGGCCTCAGCTTGATTTCCATCTGCATGTCAGAGAGATTTATCTTTGTCGAAAGAGACCTGGGATTATTATATCGCTGCTTGGTCCTCTGAATGAAGTTATCTATGTAAGATAAAAAATAAATTTCCTTGCAATCATTTGTTAATTAAATCATTGAGACTATGATGTTTATAGACAGTAAATTTTATAGATGAACAGTGTGTTATTCAAAACTGTTCAATTTATCAGAGAGCATTTCAATATTACTTGTGTTTAATAGCTAATACATCATGGCGTTATCAGTTTTACACTCTATAAATTAGTGATTATAAATAAACTAAGGAAGGGTTTAATGCTGCCTGAGTATAACTATTATATCTAGTTAAAGATATTAAAGAATTAAACAAATAAGAGCTTTTGCTTTAAACCAGTCATACTTTTTATGGAAATTCTTATGAAATATTAAATCTGTCAGATTTTCTGGTTGCAATTAAATAACTGCATACATGTTAAGTTACATGCTTTTATAAATCAGTTTTCTTTTTATTGTTTATACCATTTGAATGTACATTTTAAAGACTAAATTAAGTTAAACCAATAAAAGATATTTCCTAAATATTTTCCATGTAAAATTTTATTTTTACTATTTATAACATGATTTTAATTTTTTTTCCTTCTATATCAGAATTGAGCAAACTCCTACCTCCTGGCCAAATCTAGACTGTTTTTTTAAAATTATATTAGAACATAATCATGCTTATTCATTTATGTACTACCTGTGCCTGTTTTTCAAGCTACAATGGCAGGGCTGAGTAGTTGTGACAGAGGCTATATGACCCTTAAAGCCTAAAATATACCCTGCCTGGTCCTTTCTAGCAAATGTTTGCCAATACCTGTTGTACATTAAGCATACTAGATAAGATTATCACATTAACACAAAAGTGTTAAGTATTTCTGACTTATAAATTTCTCACTGAGAAATTGGCCTCTGGCATTAATTCTTTGGGCTTATAATCACAATCTTCTTCACAGCTCGAATTTTTTCTAATAGGCATCTAAATTAAGTAAGAAGTTTTCATAATTCATAGATTATTTACCAAATTGTTCTATCAAAACCTAGGCAGAAGTTTCTCTCCAGCTCCTTGGTATTAGATTAAAAAAATTGCTTATGATTAGATGGAGACAGAATTTTAAAAAATGAAAAAAAATTCAGGACCTTACCAAATTCAATGAAACAGTATGGTCTGACAGCAGTATTTGTCTTCATCATGTTATAAGTAGTAATGAACTCCTTCTGAAGCTCATCCAGGAAAGAGAAGGCGAGAACATTTGGGTAATTTTCAGTGCACAACATCATGTAGCTCACTCCCAGAGAGCTAATAAAACTACAGTGTAAAAAACATTGGTTTTAAAATTTCAAATTAAATCAAGGCAATTCACTACCTCACAAGACTGGTCCTGTGCACCAAAAAACTGCTGCTCCAGTGGCAATGAAGATATTAACATTTATTATACATTTCAGCCAAAAATTTAAAGTAACCAAAATATAGTACTATTTTAAGTTGTAGTTTAAAAATAGCAGACAAAAGTATAGAATGTACTACAAAGGGACATTCACTATGGTTTGAACACCTCAGTTACTTATCACTTGGAGGAGAGAGCAGAGAAAAGAATATACAAATATAGAAGTGTTACAGATAGCTTCTACACAGTGAAACGTATCCAATTTGAGTTAAGAGCTCTTTAGAGATTCTGATGAAAGTTATGAATACTCTTCCCAGAAAGATAGCCAAGCAACATAGAACTTTGCAAACTATTTCAGATGGGTTCCTCTTGAAGTCATCATTGACCCCAGAATAAAATCCTCTACTTCACACAGCAATGAATTATGAATGTTTGGTGGGAAAAAGGAGGAATTTATGAGTTTGATACGTAATATAAAAAGGAGTAGAAATGAAGACTCTTGCTTGGAGCAGAATACTGAGTGCTAACTGATAAATGTGAAGGTAGTACCGGCACTGGAAAAATCACCATTTTGCAACCAACACAGTAAAAACTAGATAAATCTAGAGGGAGATTTTGATGGAGTGGTGTATTTCCATGGTTTAAAACTGTCTTCCGATGGGCCACTTATTACAAAGGGAAAATATTACACAATTGAAACAAGACAACACATTGACCAAGTACTCTATCACTAATGAGGGGCAGATGGACACTGGGAGCCTCCAGATGTGATATCCTGAAAAAGATACATCAGGATATACAGTTTTCTGGCTGAGAATGCATAATCTGAATCTAATCATAAGGAAACATCAGAATATCAATGTTCTATTTTAAAAATGAGGCAGGTGTTTTCTTTAAAAATCTCAATGTTGAAAAAAAAGAAATAGTCTATAGAAATATTTCCAATCAAAGGAGGCTAAAGAGATAGAAAACTAAATTCAGTACCTGACCCTAGTCCAGATCCTGTGCCAGGGGGTTGAGGGGCAAGAAATGCTCTAAAGGATAATTCATGGATCACTGACAAAAAAGGGAAACAGGCAATAATGTATAGTATCAATATTAAATTTACTAAAGCTGATGACTGCACTATGAGTTAAGTAAGAGAATCTTAGAAAATACATGCTAAAGTAGTTAGGAAGGAAGAGGATCATGTATGTTTCTCTCAAATGGTCAGACAAAACAAATCAGATAAGTACATCAATAGACAAAATGTTAAAATAAATGGGGTAAAAAGTGAATCTGGGAACAGGTATTATTTGAACTTGTTTTGTTCATGAATTTCATACAACTCTTTTGCAAGTTTGAAATTATTTCTAAATAACAAGTTAAAAATTTAAAAAAAAATTCCTTTAGCACTAAGAGAAAAAAACTTTCCAGAACATCACATATACCACCCTATAATAAATAAGCAGAGCACAGGACACAAATAACCCTTTTTAGTGAGTCACCTAAACATCCTTGAATAGTACTGTCCACACAGCTGGTCAGAGCAGGGACAATAAATAGAGCATACAGGACACTTATAACTCCCCACTCCTATGCCAGACAGCGCCAATCACAGCAACCTTTACTACCAATCCTTGATCCACACTAGAGTCACCTCCCCCTTTTTTACTTTAATAATGTACAGGCAGAATTTATTTATTACAGTAAAACCTCTGTAAGTTGACCACCCAAAGGATGGCAACAAACTGGTCAACATAATAAATGTACATATAGTGCACATGTGGTCTATGAAAATTAAGTCAAGTTAAGCAGGTGGTCAATGAAGGGAAGTTGTCAACTATGGAGGGAGGTTCTACCATATTTTCAATTTTGTGTTTAGAACAAATATGTTTACATGATTCATATTTTATTTATTTTTAAAACTTTATTCAAATTAATATGAGGGTACAATTTTTAGGTTACATTGTTCTCACTTCCAAGGTAAAGTTCCAGTTGTAGAAGAGCCCCTCACCCGGGGGGCATGTTATACACCCTCACAATGTGCCTACTGGGTGAGATCCCACCTCACGCCCTCCCTCCTTCTGCCATACGTCCTCCCCCCTCCAGCTTCCCTCTACCCCTGAACTGGACTATATTGGTGTTTTATTGTTCTTATAAACATATAATTGTTTATGTATTGATTCCACATTAGTGTAGAGCACATTAGATATTTATTTTTCCATTCTTGTGATACTTTACTAAGAAGAATGCACTTCAACTCCACATGATTCATATTTTAAAAGAATGAAAAATGAAAGGATATGCTGTTGTTAAGCTATTTTATCTCCCAACCCCTGCTCAGATACATAGTTCTTCTTTCCTCAGGCAACCCATGCTATCAATAATTTCTACGTGCCCTTTCAGAGAAAGTTTGTACATAAACAATTAAATCTGTGTATGTGTGCACACATATTTATGTATGTGTGTGCATGAATCCTTTATAAAAGACCACCCTAGACAGCCAAATGATGTGGAGTTGGCACTTATTAATACCATTATTACTAATGGTGTGGAATATACTAATGCTGAAATTGGTCTTGTGTTTCTAGAATAACTTGAAATTCTTTTTTTTGGTTGCAGTCGTCTTTGTTGCTTAGGAGGCCCAGGCTGGGTTCGAACCTGTTACCCTAGGTGTATGTGGCCAATGCCCTGGCCAATTGAGCTACATGCGCTGCCTGGAATTCCTTTTTGAAGTTCCACTAACACACATTTTGTGCAATGTCAATAACAGTTTCAAAGTACAAATTGTTACCTATTAGTTAGGTAATAAAACTAGTGAATTATAGCATTTTCTAAAAAAAATATATAAAAGAAAATATTGGACAGCATATTGTTTCATAGAAGTTTTCAGTTCCCTGCAAGTATAAGTGTACTATTCACAAGGCAAATGTACCTGTTCTTAAGGATCGTGGTCCAATTTAACCATGGACATTTCATTTACTCCAAATCAAAGTCCAAAATATGTTTTCTCATTCCAAAAATATCTTCACTGTCATTATGAAAATTCTTTGACATGCATTCAAATATACCCTGCAATAACTTGAATAACATAAACACAATTGATGACTGGCTTCTAGACCCTGGGAATTTCCAACTGGCTAGCTAGGAACTACTTCATTGTCCTCCAAAAGTATAACTGAAGTTTTTGGGCCCCATTTTTTGTGCTATGTCAGGGTTTTACTGTATTTCCATACTAATAACAGACTGAAACAAGACACCTAGATGATAGTTTATCCCAAATGGTTTATCTTGCTTGTGCTAGATTTAATTAGAGAGTTTTATGTGAAATAAAGGAAACCCTATGTTTTTAAGATTGTGTATTAGCATTTTCAGGGAATCCTTACTTTGCTATAATTACATGGTACTCTCTAAAAAGTCTATAAAGGGTTGTAAAATCTTAAATGGCTTTTCACAGTGAATTTAGGTTTATCATGCTTTATTTGAAATGCAAAGCCAATTTCCCAAAAGTAAACACAGTGCACCTGATTTGTGTTTATAATAAAAATATTTCTGCTTTTTCAACCATCACTAGAACAGACTGAATGAAAGACTCCCACCATTTCACTGGAAACTCCTCCTGAAAAAGTCTAAAGTCACTACAGGCAAACCAGTTTACCTAGGCTTTATTCATATTCATTAGGTTCACTTAGCTCATATTTTATAGACAATCTGGCAGTTATCCCTCTGTTTTGAGGAGGAAGAAGTGAAATAGTAATAGCAACAGCAGCATGTAGTTTACTGACCACTTAGTATGAATGAGGCCCTCTGCTAAGTACTTTAGGCAGTCCCTGGCTTACAAATGAGATAGCTTCTGTGAGTTTGTTAAGTTAAATTTGTATAGAAGTTGGAACAAGTACATTTACCTATTACATATAAGAGCCTCCATTTGTAAGTGTAAGTCATACATGAGTTGGATATTTGTGACTTGGGGACTGCCTGTATTTAGTTTCAGTCTCACAATAAGGGGGCGCTACTATTACACCTCCACTTTATAAATGAAGGAACAGAAACTCAAAGAGGTTTAGTAATTTACCCAAGGCCATACACCATTAAAAAGAACAAATTTAGTCCTGGTTCCAAAGTGCATATTCTTTCCAAACACAACACCAACTTTCACATGGTATAGATTAACCAATGATGCCCTAATTTACCAAGAGTTTTTCACCTCTTCCATGTCAGGCTTTAGGGTTCAGGTAAGTGAGTTTTCAACAAGTCTCTACTTTAAAAAGAGGGATATTCTCAGTGACCTCTGCAGTGAGTACCCCTAGATGGCCATGCAGGTCTAACATGTCTGCTCGTCCTTTATCACCATCATTACTAATACATACATAATACATGCATGCACACACATACATATATACACACAGTCCTCCTTCCTCCACCTTGAACATAATTTTTTTTTCTATTTTTGGTTTTGTTTTGAGCACAATTTTAAAATTGCCATTTCCCCCTCCTACTTTACATTAATTTCTTTTTTAATTCCCTTCCATTTCTTTCTTTCTTTTTTAATTGTTGGGGATTCATTTCCCTTCCATGTCTGGGCTTTAATGCCAATGGGTTTGGTCTTCTGCCCAAAGAATTCATCCCATTTCATTACATCTTTGGCTCCTCTACCTAGAACACCCACCAGGAACTCCTTTAGGATCAAGTGTATCCTGACCAGGCAAGGCCTGGCAGAAGTCCAAACACGGGATAAGGTGGGTTTACTCCTTCTAATCACTGTTAAAAAGCCATCCAATCCATCCCATGAATAATTGCTGAAGTCCAACAAAATGAATTCCCAGTTTTAGACATTAAACTTTTTCTGGTTATCTAATTTTATTTACAAACTGTCATAGAGATTTTACCCAGCACCACCTAAACAAACATTATTACAGGCAATTCTAGCCTATGCACC